TTCAGATTATAAATTATAATTATAAACCCCAGATTCTAAAAGCTAAATAAACTACAATCAGGATAAATACACACATGTACACACACACACACATATTTATACCAAAGTGTACCGAAATCAAATTACTGAAAACAAATGATAAAAACAAGACTTTCAAAATGGTAGAGAAAAGATAAATTACAAACAAGGAGACAAAATTAAGATGGTTCATATACCTCTTCTCAGAAACTAACCATGCTGGAAGACAGTGATATGAAATTTTATGAATCAATGAAACTATAACCATAGAATTCCATACTTATAAAAATATATTTCAAAAAATAAAACAAAAATATATACTTTTCAAAAATAAAGATGAACAATAAGACTCTATTTCACACCAACCACGGTGGTTATAATCAAAAAGATAATAATGGGGCTTGCACTGTGGCATAGCAGATAAAGCTGCCACCTGCAGTGCCAGCATCCCACATGAGCACCAGTTCCAGTCCTGGCTGCTCCACTTCTGATCCAGCTCTCTGCTATGGCCTGGGAAAGCAGTAGAAGAGGGCCCAAGTCCTTGTGCCCCAGCACCCACATGGGAGACCCAGAAGAAGCTCCTGGCTCTTGACTTCAGATCAGCCCAGCTCTGGCCATTGAGGCCAATTGGGGACTGAACAAGCAGATGGAAGACCTCTCTGTCACTCTCTCTGCCTCTCCTTCTCTCCGTGTGTAACTCTGACTTTCAAATAAATAAATAAATCATTAAAAAACAAGATACTAGTAAGTATTGACTAGGATGTCAATACTTAATACAGAAATCAGAACTCCTAGATGCTGCTGTTGAGAAGATAAATAGATACAGCTGCTTAGGAAAATAGTCTGGTACTCCCTCAAAAGGGTAAAACATAGAGTTACCACATGACCCAACAATTCCATTCCTAATGTCTTCCCAAGAGAATCAAAGCACATGCTCACATAAAAATATATAAATGAATATTTGTAGAACCATTATTCATAATAGCAAAAAAGTTAAAGATGACCCAAATGTTCATCAACTGTTGGGAAGATAAACAAAATGCAGTATATACACACAGGGGAAGAATACTCCACCATTAAAAGGAATGAAGTAGAAATACAAGCTGTGACATGAATGAATCTTTTATTTTTTAAGAAACAAGGTTTTTGGTCATTAGTTTGAAAAAGGCAAAGAGAGGGGCCAGCCTTGTGGCACAGCAGGTTAATGTCCTGGATGAAGTGCCGGTATCCCATATGGGTGCCGGTTCAAGACCCGGCTGCTCCACTTCCCATCCAGCTCTCTGCTATGACCTGGGATAACAGTAGAAGATGGCCCAAGTCATTGAGCCCCTGCACTTGCATGGGAGATCTGGAAGAAACTCCTGGCTCTTGGCTTCGGATTGGCGCAGCTCTGGCTATTTCAGCCAATTGGAGAGTGTACTATCGGATGGAAGACCTCTCTGTCTGCCTCTCCTCTCTCTGTGTAACTCTGACTTTCAAATAAATAAATAAATATTTTTTTAAAAAACAGGCAAAGAGGCCGGCGCCGCGGCTCACTAGGCTAATCCTCCGCCTAGCGGCGCCGGCACACCGGGTTCTAGTCCCGGTCGGGACGCTGGATTCTGTCCCGGTTGCCCCTCTTCCAGGCCAGCCCTCTGCTGTGGCCAGGGAGTGCAGTGGAGGATGGCCCAAGTCCTTGGGCCCTGCACCCCATGGGAGACCAGGAAAAGCACCTGGCTCCTGGCTCCTGCCATCGGATCAGCACAGTGCGCCGGCCGCAGCGCGCCGGCCGCGGCGGCCATTGGAGGGTGAACCAACGGCAAAAGGAAGACCTTTCTCTCTCTGTCTCTCTCTCTCACTGTCCACTCTGCCTGTCAAAAAAAAAAAAAAAAACAGGCAAAGAGAGAACAAGAGAGAATCTTCTATTTGCTGGTTCATCCCCCAAATTACCACATATGACCAAGAGGTAACAGGACCTACCATAAAATACTGAAAGTTGTATAAGTGAGTAAAGCACTAGGAGAATCATATCTAGTAAGACTGAAGTCATGTACTTTCCTTCTTTGAACCAGTTGATCTCCCTCTAGGTATAAACTCTAGATTGGCTGAACTGGTATCACTTGGGAACATGGTAGAAAATACAGAACCCAGGAACAACCCCCAGTCCTAATCAGTCAGAAAAGACTTTATCAGATCCCCATGTGACTCACATGCGTGACAACATTTGAAGAGCACTGCTCCCCAGAAGCTTTTAATGTCAGTCCAAAGGGGCATAAGCGAGGATATTTACAGCACTGTTGCGTGTTTTAGCAAACAACAGGAAACGTACCAATGTCCTGCAAAGTATGTCAGGTTAGCTAACTTCTAACAACATTCCCCAAATCTCAGTAACTTATAAATAAAGATTTAAAACCTATTCATTTTACATATTCATAAAATGAATGCCAAGGGAAGCTTTGCTCACTGAAGTTACTCAGGAACTCAAAATCTTGAAAGTTGTCATTTTTCATGCTTAAGGGAAAAGAAGAGGATTCTGAAGGGATCTGATCTGGAATTAAATGCTAAGCCCCAAAGTAACAACATCACTTCTGATCACATCTTAAAAGCCAGAAATAGTCATATGGTCCAGCCCATAAACAGTCAGCAGAAGGCTGAACAAGAAAACACCGGTGAACAGCACTTAGACGACCACTGGCACTGGGAGGGGAAACTGGATCATTCATACAATGGACTATCACACAGTGACTGAAATGAGCATAGTAGATCTGCATACATAAAGGAAATAAGCTCTCCACTAGTAGGAATCTATCCATAAAAGAGATACTTTTTGTCTGTTTTGGTCACTGCTATATTTCCAGCACCAAGAGCAATGCCTAGCACATAGCACGTCCTCAGTTAATTTTGTTGAGTAAATGAATGGATCCCAAAAATGAGAGCTGAGAACCATCTACCTGTGTATTAAAACAAAATAAAACAATATGATTTATGGATATTTAAAACACAGACTAGGAGGACACTCACTAAATTTATGATACTGGTTTCCTCAGGATAATAGTAAAAGGAATAGGACCAAAGGAAGGGAAATAAATTTTATCTGTAATTTTAAAATATATATCTATACCTCTCTCTGTCCATATTTTATATATGCTACATCTTATATATTCTTACATATACAAGAATCAAAACTGTTAATTCAGAGAAGCTAGTATACAAGTATTTCTTACTGTCTATAATTTTAGAACTTTACTAAAAGGTTATTAGAGAAATTCTACTACTTTAATATCTCATTAACAGAATTCTTCATAGTACGTTACCTATGGTCTCTATGTGAGCATGCCCCCCCAGGGAAAGGAAGAAAGTCTAAGAAACAAACCCAAGACATAATACATGTTGATACCTTATGTTTCAGTTTCAAAATACTTGAGAATTCAGAATTTTTTTTGGACAGGTAGAGTCATAGACAGTGAGAGAGAGAGACAGAGAGAAAGGTCTTCCTTCTGTTGGTTCACCCCCCAAATGGCTACCACGGCCGGTGCTGCACCAATCCGAAGCTAGGAGACAGGTGCTTCTTCCTGGTCTCCCATGTGGGTGCAGGCGCCCAAGCACTTGGGCCATCCTCCACTGCCCTCTGGGCCACAGCAGAAAGCTACACTGGAAGAGGAGCAACCCAGCACCCATATAGGATGCTGGCGCCGCAAGGTGGAGGATTAACCAAGTGAGCCACGGCAACGGCCCCAAATTTAGAATTTTTATCCACAATATTCCTATTCTTATTTCAATATTAAATATATTTTTACTGCATAGTTTTCCCCCTTCAAACCTAACTAAAATCAACATTCCAGGAAGATGCAACCTGTTTATCCTACAACTTCAGATATTTTTATCATACTGAAAGATACCCCAAAGCAAGAAGAAATGAGGATACTTATTCTGGTTGGGGAAAAAGGGCCTAGGAATCATTATAGAGTCTCTTCTAGAATAAAATTACATGAGAACAATCTTCTAAATTTAACTTTGCCTTTGCCCTTTGTGATGGTCAATTTTATGTGCCCACTTGGCAAAGCTATGGAACTCAGATATTTGGTCAAACATTAGTCTAAATGCTTCTTTTTGTATCTGTCTATCTATCTATCTGAAAGAGTTACAGAGAGTGAGAGGGAAAGACAGAGAGGAGAGATCTTCCATCCACTGGTTCATTCCCCAAATGGCTGCAATGGGCCGATACGAAGCCAGGAGCCAGGAGCTTCCCCTGTGTCTCCCACAGGGATGCAGGAGCCCAAGCACTTGGGCCATCTTCTGCTTCTTTCTCAGGTGCATTAGCAGAGAGCTGGATAGGCTGTGGAGCAGCCAGGACTTGAACCAGTGCCCATATGGGATGCCAGCATTGCAGGTGACTGCTTTACCCGCTATGCCACAGCGCCAGCCCTAGATGCTTCTCTGAAGATATTTTTAGATGAAATTATCATTTAAATCAGTATACTATGAGTAAAGATTACCCTCCCTAACATGGGTGAGCCCCACCCAATCACCACTGAAGACGATATAGAAAAAAGGCCTAGCTTGCTGGCTTATCCTGATAGACACATACATGCACATACACAAATACACACACACACACACACACACACACACACCCTACTGGTTCCATTTTTTCAGGAGAATCCAGAATAATACACTCCAAGAGAGGAACTAAAATTGCCTACAACAGTATTAAGCAATGCATGTTTCTCAAACCAACTACCATTACAACAATTATATGATTTACCATGGAAGACTGGATCTTCTAACAATCAAACTGTGAGTACCTTTCTTATCTTTCATGAAACATAATACATAACCAATAGTATATGTAAATAAATCTATGATGAAACAATACATACACGGAGGCTAGAGAAGATATTATTATACAGTGACTTTTTTGAAAAGTTAAATATGGTCTTTAAAAGTATTCTAAATAGTAGAAATTTTTAGATACTAAAAACTACTGTGTAAAAATATCTTACCTTTTAGTTTTCATCTGGTCCCTCAGTTTACTGTACATCTCTAGGACTTGAAAGAGAGAAAAGAGCACACAAGCATTATTTAGAGAAAGTGAAAGAACTAATTAAAGGTAAAGGAACTGCATCAAGAATCCTACGCCATTTCTAGTTCCTCACCTGGAAGACACAGCATCAATTTATCAACAGTGGCAGAAATATTTCTCTGTTGTAGCCGACACTGCTTCAGCTCTTCCATCGCTATTACCAGCTTGGCAAGAGAGAAAAAAACCTGAATTATGCCAACAGCTGTAAATAAAAAGCTTTCAGTCACATTTTCCACACTGTGTTCAATTCATCAGAAAATCCCAGACAGTTTCATAGTAAGACCTGCCAAGTGGACTAAGGAACTGCCTTTCCCAACCAGTAAAACATTCCTGCACAGCTTCCCACTTTCTCCCCAAGATACACACTCTACCAGAAAAGACTAGGTAAAATGAGATCCGAAAATGCAGGGGCTTTCCAGGAGAAAATAAAAATCTTTGCAGATTTTCTCCCAACTCTATTGAGACTATGATTTATGATTTCATCAATCCTCTAAGATCCTGTATTTCTTTCATTAGTGCTAAACTCTGGAGGAAAACAGTCCTTCTACAACTTCAGTTGACTCTTGAAAATAATCTTTAACTAAGACTCAATTTCAACAAATAAACCACATACTTAGAAGATCTAACTTTGTTAACAGTTCTAGTTTAACTCGTTTTGTTTGCCATAGTTCCCAATCAAAAGGTTTCTAACTGAAGTCATGCCACAAAATAACTAGAAAACCTGTACTCTCTGTAGAACTTATAATATGTAAGACAAACTTTTTAAAAAGCAATAATCTACATATTCACTTGATGCATTCATCCTCTACCTGTATCTAATAATGTCATCTGCTTAGATATCATGCAAAAACATAACGAAGAATGATCCTGATCAAGTAACTGATAAAGCAAAAGCTAACCTTAAAAGAACATTTAAACTAAACAGTAAATAAGTATTAGATGATAAGAAAGGGACATGTCACAGAGCAAAGTTGTGGACTGTGAGTTAGGAAACAGGTGTTAGTGCCAGTCTTGTCAATTATTATGTATACCTCAGCAAGTCATCTGTTCCAGTATCCTCATCATGGAATTAGAGTAACATCTGTCCTGACTTTGTCAACAGTCTGCCATGAAGATCAAGTGGGTGAATGAATGTAAAATAACATAGCAAACTGTGAAGGTTTGAAGGAATGAGTATATGGAAAACAAAATCAACAACACATTTTTTAAACAAATATTAATTGAGCACCCATTTTGTGCTAGCCAATGTTTGGGTAGGTGGAGTGGATAAAGCAATGTAAAGAACAAAAATTCACGACTTCATGGAGATTCATTTCTAATGGAGGGCGACAGAAAAAAGTAAAAATATATAATATCAGAGTATTATAGACAGAATGGAGAAAAATAAAATGAGAAAGAGTAAAAGAATGCAGGTGATGAGGGTAAGAGTGCCACCTAATAAGGTGATTAGGAAAGGCTCATTCAGAAGGTAACATCGGAGCAAAGATTTGAAAGAGGAGAATATGAGGGAAAGGGTACTCCAGGTAGAAGGAACAGCACTGGCAATATTGTGGCTACAAAATGATTTTAAACCCTGCATCCTCTCAAATTACGCTGTCCAGTGATCTTAGCCATTTAATTCAGTTAATATTAGAAGGATCAACAATAATGTTCAAGTATTTTCAACATACTGCTTAGTCTTATAAGTCACTACGTAAAGAACACAGACGTCAAAAGAAACATAGATTTTTCAAAAGGTAAATTGGCCTTACTTCTTTTCCCTCATGCTGGAGTTTTCTATTAGTATCTGTCACTTGATTCTGTGGAGAGAAGACATTTCAAACTCATTAAAAAACATACATTTAGACAAGAGTTGGATAAGATTAAAATGGAATATGAGAATACTAGGATTAGGCCATTGGATATTTTCAGTATTCCACCACGTATTGGCCCAGTGACATTCATGGAGGTTTAAATTCTATCAGCTTCACTCCTGGAATGAGTAACCTTTTGAACAATGAAAAGAAAACAATTACTAAAAGGTATATTTGCCTTAGGACATTCCAAACTAAGAATATAAAACAATTAAAGATCATACTTTTTCTAAGCACAGAAAGGAGTAAGAGAGAGACAAATAAAATCAGAAAAAAATAAAATTAGTAACCCAGAGGGAGCCTACCTTTTCCTTGGTGTCTAGAAAAAATAGATTTTATTACAGATATTTCTCACTTCAGAAATGTTTTCCTGGAAAAGCTAGGTATAAATTGAGCTTTTTAACTCAAGTAAAAGTTTCCCTGTTTATTTATCCTAATTTTGGAAAATATTGTATTTTAACTGTTTTTAGATCATTAATTTTTTAAAAAAGATTTATTTATTTATTTATTTATTTATTTATTTATTTATTTGAAAGGCAGAGACAGAGAGAGAAATCTTCGGTCCACTGGTTCACACTCCAAATGGCTGCAACAGAAGGGGCTAGGCCAGGCTGAAGCCAGGAGTCAGGAGCTTCTTCCAGGTCTCCCACATAAGCGCAGGGGCCCACAGACTTGAGACATCTTCCACTGCTTTCCCAGGCATGTTAGCAGGGAGCCAGATTGAAAGTAGGGCAGCCAGACTCAAACCAGCACCCATACGGGATGCTGGCACTGCAGATAGCGGCTTAACCCCCGGTACCACAGCACCAGTCCCAGATCATTAATTCTTAACAGTACCTAACACTTACATATTCCCATTTTCTAAGCTATCCTCTCAAGAAGAGAGTCAAAAATATGTGAATAACCTTTTAATGATCTAAAGTTCATAATTTAAATGAACAAAAATACTTTTCTGGAATCCATTTTTGATGTCTCCATTGATGGAAAAGTGTATAGAATATTAATTTCTTCATCTCAGACATCAAAACATGAGACACATTAACTTCCAAAACATTATTTAAGAGTCCTTTCTAGCCTTCCACTAATATCTGTCACTCCTTATATTTTCTTTTTTTTATTTATTTTTTTAATTTTTTTTTGACAGACAGAGTGGACAGTGAGAGAGAGAGACAGAGAGAAAGGTCTTCCTGTTTGCCGTTGGTTCACCATCCAATGGCCGCCGCGGCTGGCACACTGCAGCCGGCGCACCACGCTGATCTGATGGCAGGAGCCAGGTACTTATCCTGGTCTCCCATGGGGTGCAGGGCCCAAGCACTTGGGCCATCCTCCACTGCACTTCCTGGCCACAGCAGAGAGCTGGCCTGGAAGAGGGGCAACCGGGACAGAATCCGGCACCCCGACCGGGACTAGAACCCGGTGTGCCGGCGCCGCAAGGCGGAGGATTAGCCTAGTGAGCCACAGCGCCGGCTCAACTCCTTATATTTTCAATGCATCCCTCTAACTAGTATTCCTATGATGCTCCTTAGAACATTAAGAAATGTCACAGAATATTAGTAACAGGAACACACACACACAATCGCACATACACACTAGATATGATATGCACTGTAATGTCCAAGAAAGGGATATCATACAAACTGTATTCCAAACTTATTTAATGTAAGCTTATATTGGAGATCATCTCAAGAAATTAGGTTTTGGGGGCCAGCGCTGTGGTGCAGCAGATTAACACCCTGGCCTGAAGCACCGGCATCCCATATGGGCACTGGTTTGAGTCCCGGCTGCTCCACTTCTGATCCAGCTCTCTGCTATGGCCTGGGAAAGCAGTGGAAGATGGCCTAAGTCCTTGGGCCTCTGCACCCGCATGGGAGACCCAGAAGAAGCTCCTGGCTCCTGGCTTCAGATCAGCGCAGTTCCAGCAGTTGCAGCCAATTGGGGAGTAAACCGTCGGATAGAAGACCTCTCTCTCTCTCTCTCTCTCTCTCTCAGACCTCTCTCTCTCTCTCTCTCTCTCCCTCCCTCCCTCCCTTTCTTCTCTCTGTGTATCTTTGACTTTCAAATAAATATTTTAAAAAATAGAAATTAGTTTTTTCAGAAAACACACTTTTTGAAACTGCTGCCCTAAACTATATGTTGTACCTCCACTATCATTTTCAAAGAACATTACCACACACACCCCTGCTTTCAAAGACAAAAGGAAAGGAAACTTCCTTTGTAAAGCCTTTATAAAGAATAAGAGAGGTACAAAACTCTGAATTTCCGTCTTTATTGTTTAGTTAATATTTGACATGTGAAATACTTTGTGGTTTTATTGGACTGTGAGCTCAGCGGGAATCAAGAGTTTGTTGTAGCTACCTAAAATGCACATGTACACCAGTTAGCAAAAGTATTGTCAAAAACAGGGAAAAGCAATCTGTTTCCATAAAGGGTCAGATAGTAAATATTTTAGTCTTTGCACCCCAAACAGTCTCTGTTGTAACTACCCAACTCTGCCACTGTAGCAAGAACACAGCCATAAATAAAACCCAAATGAGTAAACAAGGCTGTGCTCCAGTAAGACTTTACTTCTAAACACAGGAGACAAACTGGATATGGCTTCAAGAGAGAGTTTGCTGATCTCTGATCTAGAATAAATGAGATGGTACAGCTATAAGACTGCACTGTTAAGAATGACATTCAGAAGCAATGTGATAAGAAGGTCATTGACAAGCTGATGCCTGATTAGATGTGAATACGTTGGAGAGGGAGTCAGAGGTACACACACATGAAAAACAAAGGAATTTTTAGCACCAAGAGGAAAAAATTTTCATTTGAAGGAGACACTCTAAATATTGCATAGACTCTGTACAAGATACATTATATCTGAACAACAGTTACCTCAGGGGCCCGCGCTGTGGCACAGCAGGTTAACACCCTCACCTGAAGCACCGGCATCCTGTATGGGCGCCAGTTTGAGACCCAGCTGCTCCACTTCCATCCAGCTCTCTGCTATGGCCTGGGAAAGCGGTAGAAGATAGCCCAAGTCCTTGGGCCCCTGCACCCATGTGGCAGACCAGGAAGAAGCTCCTGGCTCCTGGCTTTGGATCGGTACAGCTCTGGCCATTGTGAACCAGCAGATGAAAGACCTCTCTCTCTTTCTCTGTCTCTCTCTCTCTTTCTCTCTCTCTCTCTGCCTCTCCTCTCTCTCTGTAACTCTGACTTTCAAATAAATAAATCTTTAAAAAAAAAGTTACCTCTCAAATACCTGAAGAGCTACCAGAAGAAAAGTGGCCCCCTAAAAACGCACAGTACTACTCAAACCAACATATGCATGTAACTAGAAAACAGGATTCAGCTCAATGTGAGAAAGGGCTTTCAAGTAACATGAATGAAAATGACCCAAACTCTCCTGAGCAATGGTGTTACCCCTTCACAGTGCTTATTCAATAACAAAAAGGGCTTTTTTTATTCTAGAGGTATTATAAATTCAGCCCTTCATAAATATTCCTCAGTTCAGCATCTATGTCTCTACCAGTATTGCCTTGCATATCTGAAAAAGGCCCCATTTCTGTTTTTTTAACCTCAATATCACTGTCAAAATTTCTATTTTATCTTATAACTTAGTCCACAAGTATAGAGAACACACACGTACACATATATACAAACCAAAACAATCTTTAAAAAACACTGTTGATCCTTGCAACATTTAATATGCTTTTATTTTCTATTCGATTTAATTTCAATTTTTGAAATTTCAATTGACCAATGCCCAATAAATCTATTTCATGCAAGCTATGGTTCTAAAACATACCCATAGGAGCCTAACAAATATTTCTAGTAAAAAAGATAATAACTATTTCAATACTATTCAATAAACATTTCAATATATAACAATGAAAAAAGCTACACTAACTGCTAGAATGAAGGTATACACATGCACACACACACACACACACACATGAGCACACTGTGAATCAAAAGAAATAACGGGCATCCTAGAAACTGCAGTTTCCTTTATTATCTTAAAATAGTATTGTTGTAGCTAATACTTAACCTTTTACACTTTCTAAGCTCTCTTCTAGAGTTCAGGAGACTCGACATTCCATAGGTTCTTAACCTGGGTCAAATGGATCCCTCTCAAGCAGAGCCTACTAGATGTACTATGAGACATTAATCCATTCAGCACTCAGAGCATCTGAGTGAAGCCTGGAATAGCTAAATATCCTGAACTGGTGGCTTATGGTTCGTTCCTTAAGGGGCAACTGAACAATTGGAAGGAATTTCAAACTTATACCAATTTGAAAGAAAGAGTAGGAAGTAGGAGGCAAAGAATGTAAGTACCAACTGCAAGTGAGCACTGCAGGCAATATTCAGAACTACCTGCCAAGGATGTATTCCACCACACAACCACTTCAATTCACACAACCACTGTAATTCGCCACACACCAGGGTCCCAAGGAGCTATGGGAGAAGTCTGGGATATGGGCTTCCAAGAGGTATAGAAAAGAACAGCCCAAGTTGAGGTTGGGAAGCAGGGATGGCTGGACAAGGGCAAATGGCACACATAGTTCTTGGTAGAGTCCCAGTATCTTTGTTTTCACACATTTCAAATATTTTTATCCATTTGAACCTGATCATCTTCCAAAATTTCAGGATTAAAACTGTATGAACCAATGAATAAAAAAAAGTGCTATCAAGATCCTTCAGTATCATTTCAAATGGTATAAATTTTTAATTGATATAAAAAGTTACTACTGCTAGTAACAGGTTCTCTTACATAGCACTCACGGAGAATTCAAGGAACTCACCATTTTTAGTATTCATCACATTTGCATATAATCATTTTAAGCATAAGACTAAATATTTATTTTATTTTTATTTATTTGACAGGTAGAGTTAGACAGTGAGAGAGAAACAGAGACAAAGGTCTTCCTTCCATTTGTTCACCCCCCCAAATGGCCTCTACGGCTGGAGCTACGCCAATCCGAAGCCAGGAACCAGGTGGTTGCTTCCTCCTGGTCTCCCATGTGGGTGCAGGGCCCAAGCACTTGGGCCATCCTCTACTGCACTCCCAGGTCACAGCAGTGCTGGAAGAGGGGCAACCGGGACAGAATCTGGCGCCCATATGGGATGCCAGCACCACAGGCGGAGGATTAGCCAAGTGAGCTACGGTGCCAGCCCCAAGACTAAATACTTAAAAAGTTATTTCACGGCGGGGGTCAGTACTGTGGCTAGTAGGCAAAGCCTGTGCCCACAGTGTCAGCATCCCATCTGGGCTGTGGTTCATGTCCCAGCTGCTCCTCTTCCCATCCAGCTCTCCACTATGGCCTGGGAAAGCAGTGGAAGATGGCCCAAGTACTCTGGCCCCTGCACCCATGTGGAAGACCTGGAAGAAACTCTTGGCTCCATGGGGCCGGCGCTGTGGCGCAGTGGGTTAACGCTGTGGCTTGAAGCACCGGCATCCCATTGGGCACTGGTTCAAGTTCAAGACCTGGCTGCTCCACTTCTGATCCAGCTCTCTGCTGTGGCCTGGGAAAGCAGTAGAAGATGGCCCAAGTCCTTGGGCCCCTGTACCCACGTGGGAGACCCAGAAGAAGCTCCTGGCTCCTGGCTTTGGATCGGCTCAGCTCTGGCCATTGCGGCCGTTTGGGGAATGAACCATCGGATAGAAGACACCCCCCACCCAGGCCTCTCCTCTCTCTGTGTAACTCTGACTTTCAAATAAATAAATAAATCTTTAAAAAAAAAGAAGAAGAAGAAGAAGGAGAAGAAAAAGAAACTCTTGGCTCCTGGCTTCGGATCAGCCCAGCTCTGACCATTACAGTCATCTGGGGAGTGGACCAGCAGACAGAAGACAGTTCTCTCTATCTCTCCCTCTCTCTGTAACTCTACCTCTCAAATAAATAAATAAATAAATCTTGAAAATTAAGAATTTATTTCATGAAAGCAAGCTCATCATTTTGAATTGATAAAAGACTTTGAAAAATTTACATGCCTTCATATATCCTTATACTCTGTATTTTATTTCCCTTATTATAATTCCTGAAGAAAATATAAAAATTTTTACAGCTAGCTTTGGATACCTGTATCCCATATTGGAGTGCCTGGGTTCAAGTCTGTGATCAGCTTCCAATTTTAACTTCCTGCTAAAACACACCTTGAAAGGCAGCAGATTATGGTTTAAATACTTGGGTCCCTGTCACCCATGGAAGATCCAGATTCAATTCCAGGCTCCTGGCATCTACCTAGCCCAGCTCTTGCATTTGAGGATTAAACCAGCAGATGGCAGATCTCTGTTTCTTTTTCTCTCTCCCTTTCAAATAAAATGAAAAAAAAAATTTTAACTATGTGACTCTTTTGAGTATTGGAAAAAAATGTTAAAAAATTGGTTTCCTCAGAGATTGTAAACAATCATGCATTTCCAATTCAGTATCATCAATCTTAAATATTATCATTTTTTTCATATTCATAATTGCATTAAGTGGCATTTTATTCTAATTTGCATTCTTTTAATTATTTCTGAATGTAGAGCTTCCTTGTATTTCTCCTTATATAAACTATATATTAATGTATATTTCTCAGTTTTCTATTAAAACAATCATATTTTTCTTATCAATTCATAAAGAATCTATATATATCAAGACCATCAATCATTTGCCATGTACACTTATAAATATCTTTAATTCAGTATTTGCTTTTTTTTTAATTTGTAGGAAAGGTGATGTCATTTTAATATTGTCATTGCTATCAATGTCTTTTTCTTTCTGATTTAGAAATTTGTGCAGAAATATAGTCCCCTCTCCTAAAATCATATAAATATTCATCTACATTTTCTACTACTTTATAAATTTATGTTTTACATTTAATTATTTAGTTCCTCTGAAATTCAGTTTGGCACATTGAATGAAAAAGATATCTTGCTTTAAATTTTAAAAGTTAAACATAAAATCACTTCAGCAAATCAAAAAGACTTGTTATCCTTAGGGTAGGGGAGGCAACTAAGGGAAGCAAAAAAGATTTAACTGTGTTAGAAATACTCTGTTTCTTTAAAAAAAAAAAAAAAGATTTATTTATTTATTTGAAACATAGTTACACAGAGAAGGAGAGGCAGAGAGAGAGAGGTCCTCCATCTACTGGTTCACTCCCCAAATGGCCACAATGGCCAGAGCTGGGCCGATCCGAAGCCAGGAGCCAGGAGTTTCTTCAGGGTCTCCCACATGGATGCAGGGGCCCAAGCACCTGGGCCCTCTTCCACTGCCTTCCCAGGCCACAGCAGAGAGCCAGATTTGAAGTGAAGCTGCCGGGACTGGCACCCATATAGGATGCTGGCACTGCAGGCAGCAGCTTTACCCACTACGCCACAGCGCCGGCCCCAATATTCTGTTTCTTAAGATGCCTGTGTACAACTGTACAGCTCCATAAACTCTTTTTTTTAAAGCTTTGGGACCCAATGTGTTAAAACTTCAAAATTTTTGAGATTTTATGAAAATAATAAGGTACAGATTATATATTACATAACACCCCCCCCAATGGGAACTAGGCCAGCATCCCATACCATAATCAAATAGATTCATATTTCTGTAGCAAAACACAAAAATTCACATTGAATAACATAAGACATTTCATCATTTCATGTCCATTTAGGTCATGCTTTATAGTCAAATGAGTTTTTAAACTACTGTAGCTTTGGAGTATAACTTAACATTGTATAATCCAGTACACCCCTAAATAAAACCACTCCTTTGCTTTTCTTACCAATGTATTCTTTCAAGTAAATTTTATACTTACTGTCAAGTTAACCCTATGCTCCAGGAAAATCCATTTTGAATTTTAATTCAAATTAGAATTTAAAAAATCAAAAGCACAAAGACTGGAATAAAACTGTTAATACTTACAGATCATAAAAGAAATGTTTATGTAGAAAACTCAAAATAATCTATATATAAATTAGAAATAAAAGGGTTTAGTGAAGTAGTTAGATTAATAAGCAAAATGACTTATTGAAGATTCAGTGAATTTGCTATACCAATTCATTTCTGCTTTAGTAGAAGATCCTCTACAACAACCCCTCATTCTTTGCTTGGCGTAAGTGCCTATGCTGCAAAGAATTCTATAGCAACACCCTGGAATTCTGTGATCCTAATGTGCTAGGTTTTATTCAGCAAGGAAGCAGATGACACGAAGGGTCAAACTGATTTTCTATCTGAAAGAAACAATAACAGATCACTGGTTCTGATCCACAGGTAATTATCCCAGCTGAACTGTAATTTAAGGGGTTAAAAAGCTAAAAAGTCATAATCTCATTTATCTAGGTTTCAATACAAATTCCCTTCTTACTACACAAAATCTTTACTTCGAGTATGTGACCAGCAATGCAATCCCTACTTCTTTCCTGCTAATCAAAACCCTGCCTGGGACAGAGGAAATGTGTCTCTTACTTTGAGTTTCTGGGCTTCTCCCCTCACTTTCAGTAGTTCAGTTATGGAGTCCACAAAGCCCTGGTAATGAAAGTTGCACATCTTCTCAATTTCTCGGTCATGATTGCGGATGCGAGTTTCCAGCTTCTCCATGAATCGTCCATGTTCCTCACCATCATAGACAGACCTTTAAAACAAATGGCATGAAGATTACAGCACATTTCCTTCTAACCAGAATAAAGAGAATTACAAACACAAAAGCAAATTATTGGGCAGGTGCTTTGGCATAGCGGGTAAAACTGACACTTGCAGTGGTCACCAATTCGAGTCCCGGCTGCTCCATTTCCAATCCAGCTCTCTGCTATGGCCTAGGAAAGCAGTGGAAGATGGCCCAAGTCCTTGAGCCCCTTCACCCGTGTGGGAGACCCAGAAGAAGCTCCTGACTCCTGGCTTCAGATCAGTGCAGTTCTAGCTGTTGAGGCCATCTGGGGAGTGAACCAGCAGATGAAAGACCTCTCTCTCTGTCTCTACCTCTCTCTGTAACTCTTTCAAATAAATAAATAAATAAAATCTTTTTTTAAAAAAAAAGGCAAATTATTTGGTAATCAAATATTTAGGGTACATAAACCACAAAGTAATATAATTATATTATCAATATCTCATTATCTAGATTTTAAAATAAATTCCTTATTAAGATTTATTTATTTATTTGAAAGGAAGAGTGACACAGAGGGATCTCTCATTATCTAGTTCACTCCCCAAATGTCCACAACAGCCAGGGCTGAGAAGGCCAAAGCCAGGAGCCAGGAACTCCATCTGGGTCTCCCACATGGGTAGCAGGGAGCCATGTACCATAATCTCCTGCCTCCCAGGCACATTAGCAAGGAGCTGGGTTGGAAATGTAGTACCAGCAATCCAATATGAGATGCCAGGATCAAAAGCGGTGATTTAACTGGCTGCACCACATGCAGGCCCCAGGTACTCAGTATCATTAGATATTCTGACTACAAATTGAATATCCCTTATTTAAAATGCTTGAGATTTTAGGAGTTTTTGGATTACAGAATATATGCATATAGATAATGAGTATCTTGAGACCGTGTAGTAAGTCTAAACAGGAAATTCATTTATGCCTCACACATATACACATATACATATAACCTGACAGTGATTTTTATACAATATTTTTAGTGTTTCTGCATTTGACTATGACCTATTAACATTAGATCAGATGTGGAATTTTCAACCTGTGGAGTCATGTCAGCACTCAAAAACTTTGTTTTCACTCTGGCCTCAGAATCAGCCCTTAAGGCATTCAGATCCCGCTAAAAATCCCATGAGAGTATCTCAGGCATGGAAAGCCAAGACACTGTGGCAAAAAATGACCTAAATGAAAGATCTCTGGGAGTGAGATCTCCATAGAAAGAAGAGGCCATCAAAGAAGGAGGTACCTTTCTCTGAAGGGAGGAGAGAACTTTGATTATGGCCTTGTCTAAATAAGGTCAGAGTTCGTGAACTCAAGAGGCTTCTATACCCTTGGCAGCTCATGACAAGAGCCTTGGGTGATTACCACTGTCATAAATAAGAATGTCAATTGTTAAATCAATAACAGGAGTCACTGTGCACTTGCTCCCCATGTAGGACCTCTGTTCTTAATGTGTTGTACTATGAGAATTAACAATAAAACTAATCTTCAAACAGTATTTTATACTTTGTGTGTCTGTGTGGGTACAAACTGCTGAAATCTTTACTCAGTATACAGTTGACCTTCTGTATATAAAGATAATTAAAAATGAATCTTAATGAAGAATGGATAGGAGAGGGAGTAGAAGAGAGGATGGTTTGTGGGTGGGAGGGTAGGTATGGGGGAAAGAACCACTATAATCCAAAAGTTGTACTTTTGAAATTTATTAAATAAAAGTTTTCTATTAAAAAAAAGTTTCTGGACCGGCGGGACAGCTCACTAGGCTAATCCTATGCCTGCGGTGCTGACACCCCAGGTTCTAGTCCCGGTTGGGGCACTGGATTCTGTCCCGGTTGCTCCTCTTCCAGTTCAGCTCTCTGCTGTGGCCAGGAAAGGCAGTGGAGGATGGCCCAAGTGCTTGGGCCCTACACCCACATGGAGACCAGGAGGAAGCACCTGGCTCCTGGCTTCAGATCGGCACAGTACGCTGGCCGTAGCGGCCATTTAGGGGGTGAACCAAACGGAAAAAAGGAAGACCTTTCTCTCTGTCTCTTTCTTTCACTGTCTAACTCTGCCTGTCAAAAAAAAATAATAAATTTTTAAAAAGTTTCTGTTTCTGGAGCATTTAAAATTATTGAATTAGGGATACTTAATCTGTAAAGCTACCTCTCCCCTTTAAAAAAAAAATCACTTTGTGTTCTCTAAAATATCCAAATTGGAACCTTGCTTTCTCCTCTCCTCAGAGTTCATCATCTCAATTTCAGCTGCTGATCTGACTACATACTCCACTGCAAAAACAGATACAGAGATGCTCTCTTCCCACTAAAATCGACCAACCTACTAACATCTGTCATTCCCACTTGGCCCACCTCCTGTAACAATGGAAGAAGTGTTCCAAGTCCCATGCCACTGTACCACTAGAACACTACTGACAGAGAGGCAGTCAGCAAACATCTACTGATTAAAGAATGACACTGTCTCTAAGACCTCCTATCTAAATCTTTCTTGTTGTCTCAAGAACATCACTACCATGATATTCTTTTATCCCTCCCCATATCATATTTTTCTCCCTCTCTATCAGATCATTCTATGCATAGCACAAACATGACTCTTCAAAACCTGTCCTTAACTACACATCTTTGTCCAGCAATCACCTCATTTCTCTGCTCCCCTTCCCATGAAAAACTCCCCTCCACTTTCTTACCTCTTTATTTCTTTACCTTTCTAGAATACATACTCCATCTTACTCCATCTAACAGCAATATTTGCTACGGCTTAATATCCTCTCCTTCTTTAAACTCTATTTCCTGAAGACTTCAACAATCCCACATTAACTTGGTTTTGAACCCTTCAGTGATACAACTTCTGAATCTCCTTTCTTAGCTCCTCCACTTCCTTCTCTATTATATTTCTAAATATTCCTAAAATTTCTTTATCTGTGCTCTGTTGCCAATCAATGGTATCTAAGTCCATGGCTTTCAAATATCATCTACATTAAGAGCACTTCGGTGAACACTAGACTGAAATGTCTAGCTACTGTTTAACAACTCCAGCTGGATTTTTAAAAGTCATATCAAATAAATCTTTTTTTGTGTTTTTTTTGACAGGCAGAGTGGACAGTGAGAGAGAGAGACAGAGAGAAAGGTCTCCCTTTGCCGTTGGTTCACCCTCTAATGGTCGCCGCAGCCGGCACGCTGCAGCCGGCACACCGCGCTGATCCGAAGCCAGGAGCCAGATACTTATCCTGGTCTCCCATGGGGTGCAGGGCCAAGCACTTGGGCCATCCTCCACTGCACTCCCTGGCCACAGCAGAGAGCTGGACTGGAAGAGAGGCAACCGGGACAGAATCCGGCGCCCTGACCGGGACTAGAAGCCGGTGTGCCGGCGCCGCAAGGTGGAGGATTAGCCTAGTGAGCCGCGGCGCCGACCAAAAGTCATATCAAATAAATCTTTTAAAAAAAAGGGGGAGGGTGTGGCACTGTGGTGCAGCGGGTTAACGCCCTAGCCTGAAGCGCCGGCATCCCATATGGGTGCTGGTTCAAGTCCCAGCTACTCCACTTCCCATCCAGGTCTCCGCTATAGCCTGGAAAAGCAGCAGAGGATGGCCCAAGTCATTGGGCCTCTGCACCAACGTGGGAGACCTGGAGGAAACTCCTGGCTCCTGGCTTTGGATTGGTGCAGCTCCGGCCGTTGAGGCCAACTGGGGAGTGAACCATTGGATGGAAGACCTCTCTCTCTCTCTGCCTCTCCTCTCTCTGTGTAACTCTGAGTTGCAAATAAATAAATAAATCTTAAAAAAAAAAAAAAGTCATCTCAAATTTAACACAGAAAAATAAAAATCCTTTATTACCAACATGTATCCACTCCAAAACCTGCTGCTGTCCAAATATCCAAATTTCCCAATCACCCACCCAACCCATCATGGTTAATGATATTATGCAGATGCAGAAACCCCAAGTAAAAATCCAGGAATCACTTCTAATCTGTCTCTTCCCTTCATAAACTTGAACTAATCCATTAATAAATACTGACAATTCAACTTCCAAAACCTGTCTTAAAATTGACCACACCCCACCTTTTCCACTAAAACTCTAGTCCAAATCTTATTATCACCACTGCAATAGCCTCCTAACAGTCTCCACTCTGTATTCACCATTTCCTTCATCCCCTGCCCCAATATAGACACTCAACACCGCAACCAAAATAATCTTTTAGAAACAATAATGCAGATGTTATTTTCCTGATTAACCCTCTCAAAACTCCCTTTTACAAAAAGAATGAAAATCTTAAATCTTTATCAGGACCTCTGGTTTGTCTTTCTAATTTCATTTCTCCATTCTTTCTTCTTTCTGGTTCCCACCTCCAGCCCCTCTCCATCTTCTATGTCCAAGTACACAGGCTTTTTCTTTTTTCTTTTAAGCCTCTTCCTCTCCAAGATTTGGTCTTTTGCAGGAAATGCTATTCCCCTATATCTGTGTACTATCTCCTCCTCATCATCATTCGTGGTTTGTTGTCTATCTCTCCCCAAAACTCACCCAATTAGACGATTAAGTCTTTGCCTGCTGTTTGCCACTGCACATTTAAGACGCTGCCAGACAAATAGCAGGCAATAAGCAAACACCCACTGCCTTAAAAAATGACTGAGACTTTATCTTTAGACCTCTTGGGTCTCTCTCATTCAACAAATACATATTTGCTCATTGTCAGCACTTTATGGTTCCATAATCATCTGTGACTACCAGATCACCAACCTGGACCCTGTAGCTCAGTAAGCACTCTCTCCTCAGTAGATAATTCCACTGCCCAAAACTCAGCAGTAACCCATTAAAGACATACTTATTTGGCTTCCAGTAATGATTACAAATGCTCACTTCAGAAAAGGTAAAGCACTTTGTAATAAAGGGATATTATCAAATCAATTATAAACAATATCTGTTTTGATAAGTAGGACCATTGTAAATAATTACTTGCCTGAAAAAGCTATTTGAAAGGCAAAAAGCAGA